TTTTGAATCGTCTATACCACTCTTTACATGTTGTATGTGATGGAGCTCGATCACCATAACCTTCTTCAAGTAATCGATGAACTTCTGCTACACTTTTTTTCAAATCAAAATAGTGCAAAAGCACATGTCGAAAAAACACTTTATCGCGTTCCATTTTTCACAAAGCAAAAGAAATTGTTGTTTAGGAAAATAATTGTGTATGCTGACTGAATGTTATCGAAAAATGTCGAAATTAATCACAAACTACCTGTTTCGTTAGTAATGACTACTAGAACTGTTTGCATTGCCATCTAACATTTGCGGGCGAAAACTAAGTTAAGGTCCTAATATAAACCGATATGTGTGTACTGTTATACTGTATAATTCTTCAATTCGCGTCAGTAGATACCGCGCGCTTATCTCGAGATAATATTTACGCTGATAACAATCGCGACGTCTACATACGTACATTTAGGTATGTTCTCGTCGGAAACGCCTCGGTCTCCGTACGTCTTCATACGTATCTTTAGGCCGCGTCTACTTGAACGCATTGTTTTCCGTCAACAAGCGTGGCGAACGATATAGAAATAATGCGTCGAGGCGTTTTCGTCTACGTCTCGAGACGAAAATGAAAAGCAGTGAGGCGGCATTAATAGGCCGACATTGACACCTCACGAGGAAATATCCCGAATCCGCAAATTCGTAACTTAAGTGAAATTACTTGCGCATATGGAGGAAATATCTGATAGATGATTTTTGCGATTTTCAGTTACTGTCGAAGAATTGATGTTAAAGATGTAATCGGTCCCTGTATTGTCGCGGTATATATCTTAATATATAGACTCGTATTCAAGAAAATATCTTTTATAAAAATATATGCTACGTATTGATATATGTGAGGAACGCATTTATTCTATTTAACTATACTATCAAACAATTAAAAGAAGAAAATACATCTTTGCGTAACAATATAAAAGAGATCTGTTAGAAATTAGAATTTGCAGCTTGGGAATGTAGTTTTATGGTAAGTCGTAATAATGAAACGTTTTGAGTCGGATGGAAGGGTCGGCCACATTCTTTCAACTCGAGCCAGAGATAAAAGGACATCTTAAACATTACATTACAGTTATATTC